GGGCTGTGTCAGCTATCCCGAGGTTGTTCTGGCCGAGGGGTTGCTGCTCAGCTCTTGTCCCGGCTGCTGTTTGAGGTGTCCAGCCGGGGCTCTCCGGTGTCCCCCCATGTGGCACCCCGGGCACGGTGGGTGTGACACGGGCTGGGSCGGGTGTGCGGTGCGGGGAGGTCCCACAGGGGGGAGCTTTGTCACCAGCCTGCGGGGACACGGCCCGGACACTGCCGGGACATCCCGCGGGCATCCCCAGCGCCGGGAGCCTCCGCTCGCTGTGCCCCGGGCTCGGTCCGGGCTGGGCTCCATTTCCATCCTCACCGGGGCTGGGCAGAGCTCCCTCCAAACCCCCACAGACCAGGGGTTCCAAGCTGGTCTGGGATTTACGACAGGAATATGATGAAGGAAGTGTGATCCTAAAGGATGAACTGGGAAAAATTCATCCCTTGGAGGGTCCTGGCGGGTGTCTGTGCTTGGAGGATGCTGATGAGCTGAACCCCTGAGCCAGGTCCCCACCTCACATATTSCTACTGGATCAACTTTAAACTGAACTGTAAAGGCTCTGAACTGGTTTAGTAAAACCAGAGACTCTGCAAAGAACCGCCATCCCACTCTGACCCCAGGTAACACTGGAGATGTCTCCTCCCACCTCAAAGATGAATAAATGYCCCTGGCACCATCAGACTGATGAAAGCGATGTGTGAGCATGGCGTCAATGCCCAGCTGCACCATGAAATCAGAATGTGGAGCTCAATCCTGGGGAAGACAGGCAAGGCAAGAKGGGTTTCATCAGAAGGGGCCACAGCAAAGTGCCAAGTGGGCACTGRAGGGGGAACAAACCCCACAGCAGCRCTGGCTCYCACTGCCTTMRTGGGCAAAGCTGRTGCCAGAAGCAGCTTTTCTYCTCACTTTGTTTTTCCCAGMTTTAAAAGAATTTTTAAAGTTGCTCTCAGTCCGTATCCCTCCAGAGGAAGYCACAGCTTTCTGCACTTGGAATCACCTTTGTCCAAAGAAACAAAGACAAGTTTAAAGAAAATATCCATGGCTCAAATCACCATTTTCTTCTGTGAGTTTTAAAACCWCCCACACCGAGTGTGCCAGACACTGCCAGCAGCAACACCCATGTCATCCAGCTCAGAAATTGAGATCTTTGTCCCTGATCTGTGACATGAAATGGATTGGGGACAGGAGGGATGTCAGASCCACAGCCACAAAGGGGCAGTGCAAGGACCCATGCTGGGAAAGGACGGGGAGAACTGCGTGAGCCAGGTTGTAATCAGTTAATTTAACTTGAGTTTGGCTGGGAATAATTAAGAAGGAGGTGATAATTTTCCTCTGTATCAAGTGCCCAATCTCTTCCTGGACAGGCTTTCACGTGGGAGGTGACACTTTGCCAGGACACAGATCTGGTCACCGCATGCAGATGCCCAGGCAGTCACTGATCTGCTGCACCAGCACCGTTTGCATGACATTTCCTTTACAGAGGGAAAAACAAAACACTTGGCCCTGCTCTGTAAGGCTGCTGATAAACAGCCTTGTCGGTGTTGGGGACACACCTAAAGGAGGCACATGAGGTGAGGCTGCTCAGGTCCCAGAGCTGCCTCTCCAAAGCTGACTGTCCAGAGCTTCCCCCAGAGATGGACTGTGCTGACCACGGGGAGAACATTCCCCTGCAGACACTGCCCCTGGTCAGCTGGGCTGGAGGGGCACTGACCCATCTCCCAGAGCATCCTCCCCACCACAGTGGGTCATCCATCTCACTCCTGACACGTGAGGAACCCACAGCAAGTTAAATCTGTCTTGAGCTCCTTTTTTCTACCTCTTGTTGATGGAATAAGAGAGCTTTTTCCTCACTTATTTTCTCCATCTTCTCCTTTCTAGCCTAAACACAACATCCCATACACGCAGACCCAAGAGCCCTGCAATGTTCTCAGGCCTTTTTCCACAATCCACATCAAGACATTCCCAAATCACCCTGACAACCCTCGCTGGGAAGCTCTGTCCCTGGCCAGCTTGTGTCTAGAAAAATCAGAATTTGGTCCCAAACATCATATTTTTTTCCTTCCTGGAACCAAAAGGTACAACCTGAAGCCTCCTGGGGTCCTGGTTTCTGTCCCAGTGCACGTTTCCTTCAGTACACGAAGCTCTTGCCCTGGACTTGCTGATGAAGTTCACTGCTCACAGTGCATGAGGCTGTGCAGGGAACCAGGGCTAAGAGTCAGATGGAAATCTGGGTGCTTTGATACACCTGAGGGGCACAAAGGGCTGTGAAGAGACAGGAACTCCTTGGGAAAATTCTATCCCTGGGAAAGCACGCCCTAAGCTGGCTCTGGTGGCTGTTTTAACCATGTTTTCAGGGAATATCAGTCTTGTTCTCTGTGCCAAACAGGCACAAAGAGGACCAAGCCTGTGGGGTAGGTGTGGTACAATACCTGATTCCAGTTACATCTCCATCCCCAATTACTATTCATTAATCAAAACAGATTCATTATACAGGCAAAACTCCCACCAGCATTGCCAGGGCCAGGGCTTGGGTCCTGCCTCTGCTCCTGCTGGGACCTGCAGCGGAGCAGAGCAATGGGGATGTATTTTCCCCAATAGGGGCAAACTGAGAACACTAAAATTAACAATTCCTGGCAGAGCTGGGTGTGCAGGAGGGCTGCTCTACCCTGCTCTGGGATGGAGCACTGTGCAGCCCCTTTGCTGTGTGAACACCAAGGGGCTTGGGGGGCTTCCTGGGGCGAGCACCATAAAACATCCTCCACCTCAGCAGCCAGGGGGTGGCTTTCTAATTACCCAGGTGGGTTTCTATTGTCAGGAGGGCAGCAATGCAGGATTTGACGCCAGGGCTCTGAATGTGTCACCTGCCGAGGGCAATTTAGCAAGTGGCCTGTGGTTTATTTTCCTGTTGTCCACAGCCACGGGGCAACACAAGCCAAGACCCGACCCCTGTGGGACCTGCCACCCTGATAAACTGATTTACCTCATGTCTGCCTTCCCTTAAAACCTACATTGTGGTGTGAAAAGGGTTTGGGGGTGTGTGGGGCTGTATTACTACTGTTGTCTCTTTAATTGGGGCAGATACCAAAATGCTTTGGGATTTTGACCATCCCATGAAAAGTGCTGGCTGTTTGGTCAAGTAGCAAAAAAAAAAAAAAAAAAAAAAGAAACAAAGCATCAACATTTGATCAGTTAAATCAAGGACACTGCTTTCCCAAGAGCCTGTCCCTCAGCATGGCACGGTACAGGCTCAGATGCCACCTCAATTCTGGGCAGCTGACACTGGTGAGATCCTGGCTGCCCAGAGCCACTGGCAGAGCACATTCTGCAGAACAAGATACATTCAACAGATTTTCCTTAGAGATTTCTTTTTCCTCATCCAACACCAAACCAAAAGCAAGTCGCTAGGCAGTGGAAAATCAAAGTGAAACCACCTTTGGTGTAATTTTCCAGATGCCCCATGATGTGACCAGCATTCTGTTCCCACAGTCGATGGAGGAACACCCAGCTCTGCAGCCCCTCAAGCCCAGCTGGGCTTGGCCAGTGACTGATGGAACAAAGCACCAAAATCAGCTTCTGAACCCAGCTCAGCTCTGCCACTGATTCACCCTGAGATCTCCACACCAYCCATTTCTGTGCCTCAGTTTACCCAGCTGCAAACAGATGTGTATATTTAATCTCTTTTACTGCAAGGACGTTGCACCAAGTGGTCTATGAGTGCAAATTTATTAACACAGAGAGACCCAAGTCGTCTTTCCCTAAGGTGGAGAAGTCCAGCAGCCATCCAGCTGGGATCCCTGCCCTCCTGGCTGGGTGACTGCAGCAGTGCTGGCCAGGCCTGAGCAGTTCATGTGGAAAAAGCCTGGAGCAGCTTGTATGGCTTGTCCCAGCACGCTGCTTTGTTTGCTGACAGCTAGCACAAGTGACAACGTTATGAGTGACTTTTAAGATYGCTGTGACTTTAATTAGAAAGGACAATTTTAATAGCCTGGGCAAAGAGCTGTGTGGTCCTGCCAGCGGCTGCTGGCGGCGCAGCTCACGCCCAGGGACGCTGTTATTCCTCTGGCATGTGATAGGAATATCGTGTGTGAACTGACAGAGCAGACACGCCAACATTTTTTTTAGCTCCACAAGCTGTCTCAGACAAGAAAATAACCCATCTATGTGCCCGCAGGGGCAGCCAGACACAATCCCCCAAAATTACCTGTGTGCACGCAGAAAATGCATGCAGATTTCCGAGCTGTATGCATGGGCTTCCATCAATGAGCTTCYCCGATACATGGGAAACACTTCATTCCCAGTAACTGTCCTTTGACAGCTCTAACAAGTAGGAACGGTTCGGGAGGGTGCTGATTAAAATGCTGACTCACAGAGGGTTTTCCACGTTGGTGGGGCTGCACCAGCTTTGTGCTCACTTGGAAGGTATTTTGCGTCGCTGCTTTTCAACCAATCTGCAATTTTAAYCCTGTGATTACAAACGGGTTGTTTGTGGCTTTGCCCAGCTGACCCCAGGTTTCCCTTCTGCAGGGTCTGGAGGGAGAGGGCTCTGCTCCTCTCTGGTGGGCAGCAGGACAGGGAGGATCCCTGTGTTTTCTGCAGCCAGGAGCAGTGAGGAGCCGGTCTGTGTGCCCTGCACAGGAGCACAGGAGTGACAGATCCCCAGCAGCGGGACCTGAGCCCACAGCCTGGCCCTTCAGACACCAGCTGTGAGGTGTCACAGCCCAGGACACATTGCTGGCTCTGCAACGCTCTCATTTCATGCTGGAGCTGCCGGGATCCCTGGCCAGGGTGAGCCAGCTCCCAGTGGGACTGTTCACCCACAGGAAAACAGAACAAAAAGTTTCCATGAGCACCATCTCCCCATTCCTTCATCAGCTGCATTGCAGCTCCTCACAACCCATAATGACACTGGCTGTAACTACCAGAAGGCTTTTTTGGGTTTCTTCAGATAAGGATTTTCCTTCCCCAAGCCCAGCTTATGGCTCAGCAGCAGCAGAAGCCCCTCACTCCACTCAGGCCATGGGCAGCTCCTGCCTGGAGCAGCAGCAGCCGTGCCTTTTCTGCAGCAGCCTTCCCCGTAAGGAAACTGCCAACCCCAGAAAACTGTTCCCCTAATTACAGCCTTGGAGCATGGAGAAAACCACATAAATGATTCACACAGTGTTCCCAAGCTGCAGCCGCGTAAATTAGAGAGATTTCCAAATGCTCCCGAGCCACGCTCGCTGTTATCAGGATGGAAATGCAGAAACTTTCATCATGAAGAGGCAAGGAGGAGAAAACCCTGCCGTTAAACGCATCTGTGCAAACCAAGGAGACCTGGGAGGTCTATTCCCTATGGATCTTTACAGAAGGGTTGTTAAACTCCTCAGGGAGTTCTCATAGGAGGGAGCAGGCAGATAGGAGGGGAACTATAGAAATGCATCCGCTTGTTGTTTYGGAGGGACTCGGGGATGGAGCCTCTGCTGGCAAGGAGGGGATGAAAAGGAGAAGAGGACTTGGGGCCAGCAGAAAGGGATGGCTGGTGGCGGGGAAGAGAGTTAAAAGTGTCCCATTGTTAGGGAAGTTTGCTCTCCTTCAGACCATCCCGCTCCCAGGGACACCGCGCCGCCTTTTGAAGTGCAACCTTAGGCGGTTCCTTGTCACCCATTGGAGAGGGAGCTTTTTTACCACATTAAGTCATTGGGTAGCAAATGAATGGGGGGTTTTGACTATTCACAACTTCACCTTATAAATATCAGGGTTGGAGGTTCCTGCAGCTTTGCTCCATCCCCGTAGCTCACCTTGGGAAGGAGTGGAGGGAGGCGGCCCTGCTTCCTCGGAGACCTGCAGAGCAGCCAAAGGGATCCAACCCCACTSCTTGTGCCAGCCATGAAGAGAAGCACCCTCCTCATCCTCTCCATCACTGGGGTCTACAGTGCCATCCTCCACACAGCAGCATGGTAGGGTCCAACTCCGTGCAAAGGGCATTTTTTTAGGGATGCTCTTCAGCCTGCGGTAAGGTGTTGATTGATTTATTTTATTTTCTTTGTTTCAGGTCTGTGAACAACTTTCTGATGACAGGACCTAAGGTAATTAACATACGGACTGTCAGGAATTTAAATGGAGTGATTTTGTTTTGCAAATGGGAAACAGTACTTTCCAASGAACCAGACTTCCCAGAGCATATCGGCTCCAAGTCCTGCCAAGTACAGAGGGAAAGGACTCGCAACCCGCTCGTGTGTGTTTTCACTGCTAAACGCTAAGGCAGGGCGGATTTTAACCCCGCTGTTTCCCGTGCCAGGCGTACCTGACCTACTCCGGCAGCGTGGCGGCCGGGGCGCACAGCGGGATGGAGGAGTGCAAGTTCCAGTTCGGCTGGGAGCGCTGGAACTGCCCCGAGAGCGCCCTGCAGCTCTCCACCCACAACCGGCTCCGCAGCGGTGAGTGCGCCTTCACCTGCAGCACCGCTCCCACCCGGAGAGAGCTGCGGATTTAACTGACTGATGGACAGGGGCTCCCATGTCCCAAAAATCACAGCTGGTTTTGCTTTGTCTGTGTTAATTGGTGTTATAAATAYCACTGATATTTTTGTAGGGATCCCAACCCATCCTTCCTGCAGGGCTGCTCCATGGTCTGCTCCTTCTGCTTTGTGTGCGGTGCTGGAGACTCCTGAGCTTCCAGCGGGGAGAAAGGCAGGAGGGGAAAAGGGAGAAACCAGAGATGAGCACTGAGAAAATACCTTCATGAGAAAGATGTGGATATATTTCCATATTATCTATTTCAACAGGCAGAAGTCTCCCTTTCCCCAGAGCAGCATCTGTATTTGGATCAGTTTAGAAAGCCAAAAAGGACTACAGCAGGAGTGTGGGTGCAGACAGCTGTTAGCACAGGCTCAAAGGATCAATGACCATTTTCTCCAGCAGGCAAGATCAAAGCACAACATCCCCTCAGGCAGGGAAGGACAGAGATGAACCGAGTGCTAGGTGAAGGGAGAAATAACTCACCTCRGCCAGAGCAGGACTGTGGCACTGCCTTAAAATCCTACCCCTGTCAAGTTCCATCTYCTGTATGGAAACCTGCATAATATTATACCAAATATAATAACCTGTGATKCTGGAGCCTGCAAAGATCCAGTCATGAGCATTTCATTTCTGTAGCACCTCACCTTTTGCACAGAGCGTGTGGGTATTTTCTCCTGGCACCTTTGCAGCTCAGATCATCATTCCTGATAAGCCGGGGCTGATGTCCRTATTTGCATGTGACAGCTTTATCCCCTCTCTCCCCCAGCCACCCGGGAAACCTCCTTTGTGCAYGCCATCAGCTCTGCCGGGGTCATGTACACCCTGACCAGGAACTGCAGCCTGGGAGACTTCGAGAGCTGTGGCTGTGATGACTCCAGGAACGGCCGTGTGGGTGAGTGACCATCCCAGGACAGACTGACCACATCCCTCTGTCCTGCACCCAGCCCCACGGGCTTTGGGGCAGCTCTGTGCTCAGCCTGTGTCTGCCTTGCAGGTGGCCGAGGCTGGGTCTGGGGAGGGTGCAGTGACAATGTGGAGTTTGGGGAGAAGGTTTCCAAACTCTTTGTGGACGCCTTGGAAACGGGACACGACACCCGCGCGCTGATTAACCTGCACAACAACGAAGTGGGGAGRCTGGTAAGTCAGACTAAKAATAATGATAATAATAGTAATAATAATAATRTCTATATTRAAAACAAAATCTAGGCTKTTCAGGTCCCCATTTTCAGGCCCCTGTGACAATCTAGGCCCTGAAATGGTTGCATGGGGGGGGGGGGGAAAACCAGAATCTGGGCTTAGTCTTCAGCACAGGGAATCACAGCAAGAGCTGTTCCCACCTCCAGCTCCTGCAGCTGTGTAATGCAGTTATCTGCTGGCACACACCACTTATTCAGAAATGCCCACCACTTATTCAGAAATGCATGGGGTTTGTACTCACCTCTAGGCTTGTCTGGTGTGTAAAACAAAGCCAGAACTGCCTTCCTTACTTTCTTGCAATAAGCATTTCCAAGGTCTTTGGCCGGGAAGCCAGGTGTGAGCTGGCCCTGCTCACAAGCCAGCCAGACTTGCCCCCACTCCTGCCTGGGCCATGGAAGCACTCAGCATCTTGCCAAACCTCCTTGTCTGTAAAAACAAGGATGGCAACACTTAACATACCTATCTCATAGGGTGTGTCAAGGCTTAATCTCACACAGATACCAGGGATTGGGACCTTATAAATACCAGAGGGAGATAGGCAGATAATATCTGTGAAGTGCTTGGCCTGGAGGAGATGCAGAGAGGAAGGGTATGMTTATTCCAAAGCAGTTTCACACATTTTAAATAAAACTCCTGAAAGGGATGATGGGTCGATGCTGGTGAGTGGCGTGAGAAGGGCATGACCCAACAAAGGCAGTTTTTTTCCTGGCCTGGATTCTCCTGCAAGGGCTGGGGACAAAAGTCTGTGCCCATTTATCTCTGGGACAGATAGTTTTAGTTCCAGGAAGCAAGAGCATCAGCTTGTGTCTTGGAAGGGCCTGAAGTCACGCCAAGCATGAGCCACTTTCAATGCATTGTCCCCAAATGACAAGCATTGTAGAGCCTGAATTTGAGATCTCCTAATTCTCTAATTTTCACCGAGGCGGTGAAAGACACGATGAAGAGAGCCTGCAAGTGCCACGGGGTGTCGGGCAGCTGCAGCATCCAGACCTGCTGGCTGCAGCTCGCCGAGTTCCGCGAGATCGGCAACTACCTGAAGATCAAATACGACCAAGCGCACAAGCTGGAGATGGACAAGAGGAGGATGAGAGCCGGCAACAGCGCCGACAGCCGCGGGGCCACGGCCGAGACCTTCCACCACATCCACGCCTCTGAGCTCATCTTCCTGGAGGATTCCCCCGACTACTGCACCAGGAACGCCAGCCTGGGCCACCACGGCACCGAGGGCCGCGAGTGCCTGCAGACCGGCAAGAACCTGTCGCAGTGGGAGAAGAGGAGCTGCCGGCGGCTGTGCACCGAGTGCGGCCTGCGYGTGGAGGAGCGCAGGACAGAGGTGGTGGCCAGCTGCAACTGCAAATTCCACTGGTGCTGCACSGTGCGCTGCGAGCAGTGCCGGACGCTGGTGGCCAAACACTTCTGCTCCCGCCGCGACTCGGCCGCCCCCAACCACATCCGGCACAGGAGCAGGRGCCACCGGAGATAGGGGACACTTTGGTGCTCTCAGGGTGGGCAAGGATCATCCTGGGGGCTGCAGGGTCAGGTGTGCCCCGTGCCCCGTGCCAGGGGATGGGGTCTCTGCGGATGGATGCGGTGGATGGGGAAGCGCAAGGCGCGGGCGCTGAGCGGCCACGGTCCTTCTGGCTTCTGTGCTTGTCCTCAATATTTACCAGCAGCTTCTTTCTTCTTGTGAGTCACTTTATCTGTGAATCGGACAGAGGGAGGGATTTCACATTTTCTCCTCGTGCCCTGCCATGGGTGGCTGTGCCCATGCCCTCTCCAGAGCGGTGGGTGCGGGTGCTGTGGCCAAAAGTGGCTCCAGCCRGGTGACCCCATCCCCGCAGCCCCAGGTCCCCGCACAGCAGCTGCTTGGCAGCATTTCTGGAGGAAAACTTATGCACTTTGTGATGTGAGAGGAGCTTTGGCAGTGTCGTGGTGTGTATTACCACAACTTCAGCCTTTTGAGGGCTTTGAAGAGTTTACAGCCTTTGTTTACATATTTCCCTTCCCCCCTTTTTTTTTTCCTCACCCTTTTTGAATTTTGTATTTTGGCACAAGAAGCCCTGCAACAAATAGACAGTAGCTTCATGTAWTTGTACTGGATAAAATTAAGCAGTTTACAGTTCCTATAATTTTTTTTGTTTTAAATTAGCAGACAAGAATTCAGAATTCTTTATGCCTAATGTTGTTTATWAAAACGTTGTATTATTGCTTAGCACAATCTGTTTTCATTATATATCTTGAAGAGTTAGATTTTGGACTGTATTTTGCAATAAACCACAATGAAAACAATTGGCTTTTTCCTTCCTGGCTTCCTAGCATTTTCATTTTAGGTGCAAAATTGTCCCTTTCTGTGTAAAACCCAGCACTTCCACGAATTTTCTCACCATTAATCCAAAAGCCACCAAGGCCAGTGAGGTTGGCTCCAGCCTCCAGTCCCCGGAGGGTTGGCTTTAGTACCTATCACCGTAATCTCACCCTCCCCAAGTGCTGAGTATGCAGACACAGCCCGGCTAAAGCTGATTTTGAAGCTCCCAAAGCCTCTTTAATTTGCCTCGACCCGACATCCCCCAGACAATGCGAGGCTGCCCTGCTTTGATGTGGAAAGTGTCACCATCGGCTCTCGCTGCAAATTTCTTGGAGGCACAAGAGGAACCCTTTGAACTGGAGCAGGAGAGAAAATTTGGGGACACTTGTGAATGTGTCTGCTGGTTCCCTGCTGCTCCGGCTCGGGGAGGGCAGGAGGGGACAGCGCTGGCTGTGCTGTCCCAGGGCAGAGCTGTCCTTGCAGGGATGGAGCCGGGCTGTGCCAGCACCCACCCCCACCATGCAGGGCCAAGGATGCTCGGTCTGGTTTGCTCTCCAGCCAGGGGAAAAGAAGTGTAAAACCATCCCACAGCTCTGCCACACTGTGCCCATGCTGCAAACGCTTCGGTGCTGTTTGATCCAGCTCTCCCAATAGCTCCCTGTGCAAACACAGCCTCAACACACACCAGAGCCAGACCAGGGAGCTCCACTAGCAAAGCACACATTTGGGAAGCACAGCTGACTTCCATGCATTTGTTTTATGTAAAATGGGTTTTGTTAAAGCTGGAAGAGTGACACCATCACTGAGGGGAACTTGGCTGACTTCAGGGTGCCTATTTCTAATAAGCTGCCCTACCAAAACAAAAAACCCCAAGATTTTCACACAGTGTTGCCACAACAGCAGTTGCAACCACCAGAATAAAGGCTGAATTTGGAATGATAAAAACAGGCAAACAAAGCCACTTTCCTGCATCTTGAGCACTGGTTGGCTTGTCTGCACAAAAAAGCCCCAAGCTCTCCTGTTGTAATACCAGCTGTATTTGCTTGGACTGTGTTCTGAGACCCCAACAGCTGCAGGCACAGGGTACCACTAAAACCCCACAAAATGAGGTCCCAAAACAACAGTCTCTGTTGCTGTGCTCTCAGAGGAGGGAAACTATTCACCAGGATAACTCCCAAGCACACRTTCCTTGTGTATGCCAGGTGCAGGTTCATAAACCTGGGTTAATCCCAGGAGAGGAGGGCTCCTGGTGAGCAGGAGTGGGCAGGACATGCTGTGTGTCATCTTACCCACTCCTCTGCTGCACCTTTTCAAAATAATATTAATGCAGAAAATAAAAAACAACAGGTTTGCAGGTGGCAACAGCACCAGAGCAGAGCTCTGGCCCACACACACTCCATCCCAGAGAAATAGGGCTGGAGAGAAAAGTAGAGATATCACTGCTGAGACCAATCCTTTTCCCCCTGAGCCGTCCCATTCCCACCAGCTCAGCATTCATATCCACCCCGTTGTATTTAAATGCTGGAGATGAACTGTTCTTCCCTAAATTTGTCTAATTGCTTTTAAAAAGCCATTTAYATTTCTGGCACCCAGACTCTCTGAGGCAACGAGCGAGTTGTGCCCRAAAACCAGAAACCAAATGGAAATCAAAGCAAACTCAGGGGTAAGTTACACACCATCCCAATGCCYGGATTTCCATTCTCTTTTTATACCTTGCAGAGCCAATACCGAGACCGAACAAATACAAAAATCAACTCTATGGCTTAGAGTGGCACCTTGCCAGAGATATTASTGTGCTGGAGAAGCTGAAGCTTCCTCATCCTCCCCCTTGTTGCTTGGATACAACAGTCATCAATTSTCACTACATTCAGTACAAAACAATAGAAATTCAGGATCGTCTTAATCCATCACAGCGCTGTCAGGGAGCCCTGACACCCCTGCCTGCTGCTGTGGTTTCTGGAATAACCYTCACAGAAACCCCCTGGGCACGGGGGAGCACAGGGAAATAAACTCTGAGGATGCCACGGCACTGAGCTCATCATTTCATTTCGACTGTGATTTACCTGGGCAGCAAATTCCTGCAGAGAGCTTTCAGAGTGAGCACAAGCACACAGAGCACAGCAAAATCCTGTCACCAGCTGCTCTGTAAAGGCTGCTCTGTAAAAGCCAAGAGGTGTCTGCAGGGATTGGTGGTGCCTTCAGACCTGCACTGGTTTGCTCAGATCACCCAAAGCCAGTTCCAGTTTGGGATCCTGATCCCAGGCACCTGGAACTCGCTGCACCCTGGAGGAAAGGGTGGGCTGGCTCTGTAAAGSCTTGAGGAGGAGCCTGACCACTGTTCCACTGCAATAATATTGTAATAGTGTTGATCCTAATCACAGTGAAAATATAAAAATCTTAATCTGGGCCAAGTGCTGCATGAACTCAAACCAAAATCCTGCTGCCTGTCCCCCGAGAGCTGTCAGCACTGCTTCTCCCCTGGAGCAGGGGCATTTCAGGCAGGGCTGTGGAGCCACTTGGACAGTTCTGGAGTGGCACCTTCATGTTTGAGAGCCACTGCCGTAGACAGAGCATCCTCTTGATAGGAAATCCATGGAACAGCAGTGGAATCAGCCCAAAATCACCACTGCCTTTGTGGAGGTTTAACACCGATGTCCCAGCAGYGTGTTTGTGCCTTTATTGTGGGAGAGGGATGGTTTGTAGTCCATGAGAAAGGGAAACACCCTCCAAATGATGTAATAATACAGTCCAGCTACAGCATCACCACAGACCAGGGCAGGTTTGTGTCAGAGGTGTCTGCTCCCCTATTGAGGGTCAGAATATCAGTGTTGGGGTGCTCAGACCCTGATAACAGSCCAGGCTAAGCCCTCAAGCTCTCCCAGTCCTTCCCATTCAACTCAGAACTGTCCCTGTCACTGTTTCACCAGCTGCCTCTTGGCCGTGCCGTGCTGCTGTCCAGCTGTCCATCCCAGCACCCTCACCAGGGACAGCAACCTCCAGTTTTCTTCTGATTTCTCCTTCCCAGCAGGTGGAAATGCCCCCACAGCCTGATTCCCCTTCAGGCAGGAGCATGGGAACAGCTCCCATGGCCTTGGCTGGGGTCACCTCCATCGCTGAGAGGAGGAAGRTGAAGTTCAGGGGTGCCAGTGCCACCCTGAATGGACAGGGACAGGCAGCACATCCTCGGGGCTGCCCAGCACACAGAGCCAGGCTGGGGCTGAGGATGTCACCCAGCACAGAACTGCATCTGTGCTGCTGCTTTTGCTCCTTCTCCCAGAAGAGAGGGCGAGGATGGCTCTGACAGAGCTCACACCATCATCACCACCTGCTTCCACACTCCTGCTCCGAGGCTGAGGTACCTGCCCCAGGACCCCTCTCCCCAACAAGTCACACTGCCCAGGGACCATCTGCAAGCAGAGAACTGAATTTATGTAACTCACAAAGTGCAGGTTCTGCAGATGATTTTGCAAAGGAGTTTGCAGGTGGATGGATTTTGGCCCAGCACTGCTCCCTCCTGCCCTGCTCCCCACCCAAAGCCCCACCACAGCCCCCCTGCATCCCAACAACATCCCTCCTTTCCCCCAGCCTGCATCCCTTCAGCTGTTAAACTCCTTGCCTGCTGGATTACCTTTAATTTATGCCCCCAGTGGCCTTTCATGGATTATAATTCTGTATGAGATGTTTGTGCTGTATCCTCCCCCCCAGTATTAAAGTGTCAGCAGTATATCCCCAGGCCATCCATCTTCAACACTTCCGCAAGGGCTTGGCAATTCTCTGACATGAATATTATGGCTCTCCATGCAGAGCCTCCATCACTCAAGCTGACAAGTGTTAGAATCTCCTCTCTTGAGCAGGGTAAGTGACCTTTTCATATGCAGCGTAGATTCCCGGTCACGCTGCATCTGGTGCAGTGAAACCAGTGAGTGCCAGCAATTCCCTGAAGTCTTAAAAAACAAGTCACGGGTCCTTTTCGACTTGCAAAACCAACCCTTAGCATGACAAAGTTAAAGGGCCTGAATCAGCCCCTGGTTAGCTGCTGCTAGTGCCAGTCCCAGAGAGGAGGATGAAAAAGCATCCACTCCATGCCTTCTGCAGGATTCATTGTCAGGGATTTTCAGGGAAAAATGGGAGATTTGGGTGTCTGGCTTGCTGGAGCACATAGGGAAGATTTTTGTGAT